GTGGCCACGGCGTAGAACACGGCCACGCAGCCGATGTGGCGCCGGTAGTTCTCGATGAAGCGCTTGAACTGCTGCACGGTCTGGTGACGACGGCTCCGTTGAAACTTTTGTCGGTGAGCCTCGGTGAACAGCAGGGGCTGAAACAACGTGACCCTGGGAGACAGGGAGTCTTGGCTCTCAGGTGGGGACCCAGCGCTAGTGCAGCCTCGCTCCCCAGAGGGGAGAAAAGGGCCCCGAGTTACTCAAGCTAAGCATGGTCGAGAGTCCCAAGGCTATTACCACACTCTTCAAGCGAGCTGTCGATGTAAGGACGCCTCACAAGTGGTCACCGGGGCCTCACAAGTGGTCACCGGGTCCGTTCATCCCAGGGGAGGCGCTGCATCTACCCCAGTTCTCACTCACACTCAGACAGCCCCCTGCCCTCCCAGTCTGTAGCTCCCAACTCCCAAGGCTCTAGTCTTACTATACTGGGAGTCTCAAAGGACGCCTCCTCCAGGAAGCCTTCCCTGTCCTCCCAGTCGGAGATGAGCATTTCCTTGAGCTCTGAGGCCCCTTGCTCTTAGCACCATTATACCGTTCATCAGTGGAACATTCTGAGGCCATGCTTAGCACAGTGCCTGGCACCAAGTAATCAATGTATGCATGCTGAAAGGATGGATGAACTGCCTGGGCTTAGGGGGAGGAGCAGGCTTACTTCTTGCCAAACCTCCGTCGAATCTCCTGGGGAGGATCTGTGTCCATGGGGCATTGCAGTCTCTGTGGTGTCAGCTCCACCTCGACATCACTGCCCGAACAGCGAGCACTCACTCTGGGAGAGGGACTAGGACAGGAATGCAGGAGACAGGATCTTGGTTACCTAAGCCACTTGGTGCTCTGTTGCCCCTGGTCTGCCTCCATACCCACTCTGTTGAGGAAGGGTCAGAGCTCTCAGTCAGGGGACAGCAGGATTCCCAAAGAGACCTAGATAGAGAATGAGTCACATGCTGGGGGGCCTAGCCAAGGCTGTCATATATAGCTATGCCCTTTACAAGGGCATCTGACCCAGGCTACAGGTGAGTGCAGGGCTGTGTCTGCAGAGTAAAAAGTGCTTTTTTATAATTTACATGAAGGCTTGATGTGGGCTAGTGGAGGCTGTGATCCCAGTCATTTTGGGGAGAGAAAGGGCAACTCCCTGACCCCAGCCCTCACTCCAGCATTCCCAGACGAGGGCTCACCAGAGCTTATCCTGGCTGACGTAGGAGGCTCTCCGGCAGAGGTCCTTGATGACTTCAGGCACTTCCACCCCTGCAAAATGCAGAGCGGGCCTAGGGAGCAGCTCAAGACCCAGAGCCTCAGGAGGACCTGGCTCAAATGTCTGGGCACTGTAGAGGGTCCCTGGCCAATACCCTGCCACTGGGTGCCCCAGTCTCAGCCTGTGTCCCCAAAGGGAACTAGACTCAACCAAGGGTGGGCAGAGAGAAGGCCTGGAGCAAAGTTGGCCAAGCAGGCTCCCCTGAGTGTGCGTCCACCTTCAGTCTCACTCCTGGGACTAGAATCAGGCTTATGGGGTAGAGTTCAGGAACTGTATGCAACCTGTCTGCTAAGATCATTCTGTCACAAAACCCTGCTTATGACCCTCCAGCTTAAAATCTCCCAAAAGTTAAGTGTAGAATCTAGGTGGTACATATATGGAAGATCACTATAAAATTCTTTCCACTCTTCTGTGTTTGTTCATAAGAAAATGTTGGGGGGAAACAACCTTTCCAGGAGCTGCCTGTTGTTTCCTGTCTGGGCTGAGTGCTTAGGGGCAGGGCAGGACTGAGCAGAGGTTCTCACAGGAGGCCTGGGAATCTGCACGTCACTTCCAAGCGCTAAACCAATCCTGAATATTACCCTGGTCTATAGGCCAGAGGCAAAAGTGATTACAGTGAATTTAATGAAATCAGAGTGTTTAAAACAAAGTATAGATGTCTATCCTCTCAAATGCTTTAGCAAATAGCAAATGTGGTAAAAACAGTAACAAAGAATGCTGGGTCTGCATTCTACCAACTCTCCTCCCACCCTGGGCATGGGAATCCCTGACCAGAGGCCCGGCTGTGCCTTGACAAATCTAGGTGAGGAGGAAAGGGATGCTCCTTGTACTATTCTTGTACCTTTTCTGTAGGTTTAAAATGTTTCAAAGTAAAATTTGGAGGAAACAGTAAAGTACAACAATTAAAAGCCAAACAGGACTGACTGGGTAGTTCAGTTGATTAGAGCATCATCAAGATACGCCAAGGTTGCGGGTTCAATCTCAGAGCACATACAAGAAGCAAACAATGAATGCATAAATAAGTGTAAAAACAAAGCTCTCTCTCCCAAGTAAAAATAATTTTTTTTTTTTTTGTAAATGCCAAACAAAATAATACTCATTGCTAACCTTCTACTTAATCTTCCTTTCCCAAGCCTGGACCTTCCCCCACCCCAGGGATTGGATATCCCTGGGACTCAGGCCTAGGCTCACTTGAGGGTGCACACCTGCCCTTGCTCTGCCCTCAGGCCTGGGCGCCTGCTGCCCTGGCTGCCTGGGAAAAGTGAAAAGCTGCAGAATCAAGAATGCTGGGTCTGCACTCTACCAACTCTCCTCCCACCCTGGGCATGGGAATCCCTGACCAGAGGCCCGGCTGTGCCTTGTCTAACTTTCCCCTCTCCCCCATCTGGACTGCTCAGCTCCCCCAGGCTCTCATAATCCTGGGAGGGGCTGGGTTTGGTTTCAACATGCCCCAGTAAGAATCCCAGGCTGTGAAGACACCGTAACAGCTCAGAGCAGGCCACAGGCAGTCCCTCTGCTTGCTCTCTGCCCACTCCTCACCCTGATTCTAGCCCCACCCACCTGAGTCAGACACAGGTGGGGCAGGAAGTAGGGGGAAGAACAACAGAAGTGGGTCTCCATGCACTCAGCAAACATTTACTGAGCACTCCTCCAGGGGATAAAGTGGCAAACAAAACCAGAGCACCCACCACCACCAGAAACCCCAGCTGAGGTGGGTATGGCCAGGGTAGGGTTGTAACGAGGAGACACTGTTTCCCCCCTGCACTGGGTTCCAGGCACAGGGGTCTTTGACAAAAAAGAGGAATTCCAGCTGCCATCTCCCACCCCATCCTGACCCTGCCCACCCCACCAGCAGGGCTGCATTATGACTTTTGTGGGTCTTAGGCACTGTTTGTCTTCCTGGACCCCTTCCTCCATTAAAAAAATGAATTAAAAATTCTATATCATAATTGTGTTGGTGTAAAGAATATAATCCAGGATGGATACATTATTATCTATTTGTTATTACTATACTCATTCTTTTTTCTGATTTTAAATGAAATGAAAACATTCCTGTGGACTCCCAAAATATGTGGGCCCTGTGTACTGTGCCTGCTGTGCCTAATGGATAAGTCAGCTCTGCCCCCAGGCTCCCTCACCTTTGACACAGAGCTGTGTGAAGCGGAGCTCGCTGTCGTGGTCCCGCAGCATGAAGTGGAAGTCCTCCCACGTCAGCTCCTCCTTGTCCTGGAAGCCTGACTCCCGGAACATGGACTCCACCACCTCGGCCAGCTGGGCCTTGGACAGGCAGTTGTTGGAGATCTCGATGAAGGACCTGGGGATCGGGGGAGAGGAGCCATCAGGCCCTGACAAGGGGCCCGGGGCCTAGACACAAGGGCCCACTGTCCATCCCATCAGGCCTTCACAGCCCACATGGAAGGACCCCAACTGGCCAAATCCCAAGCCCCCTCCTAGCTATAAGCTTATGGGTGAGAAGGAGGAGGCCCCTGCTCTTTACCCTCCTGCTTCCTCCATGTCCCACCTCTTTCCCCTGGCAGTCCCTGCTCTGGCCCACTCTCCTGGCTGTCCCACTGGACCAACCTCAGCATCCTGATGAACTCATCCTTGGAAATGAGACCATTCCCATCAAAGTCGTACATGCGGAACATAAGGCGAGACTTCTCCTCAGGGGAGCCTGGGAGAAGAAGGACCCTATGAGAGGCCCAGATCACCTGCCTAAACCCCAGGGTGGCCAGAAGGGGGCTTCCACTAGTGTGACCCACTGCTGGACACAGTGAGGGGCCGCTCTGCTTCCCGACCCTACCTGGGTGCTCCCAGATGCCTGCCAAGGCTAGAGATCTGGCCCCAGTGCTTCCCCATCTCCAACAGGTCAGCTACACTCCAGCCTCAGTCTCTAGCCCCTTCCATCTTCTCCTATCTGAACAATCACTCCCTCCTCCACTACCTTTCATGAAGACCACCAGGATGTCCAGGAACTCCCGGAAGGACAGGTAGCCATTGCCATCTTTGTCGGCCAGAGAGAACATGGACTCCACAAACATGTCCTGGGGCTTGAGGCCCAGAGAGTTGGCAAACTCAGCCCTGCTGAGCTCGCATGTCAGGGCCTCCTGCACCTTCTGTGATGAGTCCAGGGGCAGGGTCCCTGCGTCCGCCTGGTCGATGTCTAGCACCTGCACCCGGGCAGCAGCAGAGGGAGGAAGAGAAGGAGACAGGGATTCCTTGACTTGAAGGCCAGTTGAGGTTTATAGGAGCCACCTTTTAAGGTGCCTACCCAGCACCCCCCACCAAGCACTGCCCCATAAGCCCTGTGGGTGGTTCCTGTGGCCATTTATTCTATAGAACCCTGGCCCTGTGTGTTAGCTGACTGAACAAAGGATGCACACTTGAGCCAAACAGGAGACCTGGAATTGGGACTGAGAGGTCTTAGGTCTGTTTTGACCTGAGCACAGGAAAACTCAGAAGTTGTGGACCACCCTGTTCTTCCAAGTGCTCGGAGACACAGAGACAGAGCAAAGCAATGGCACAGAGAAAAAGGAGGCAGCCTAAAAGAGGAGTGGCCTTGTTTGCTGAGAGCTTTCCCTTTCCTGGTCCTTTCCAGGCCAGGTCACAGTCCTCCCTTTGGAATTCCTGAGACACCACTATATCCTCAGAGTCAACTGACGCCTTGTCAATACTAGCCTGAGCGGGTTGTTCTTATATCCAGAGTTTTAACTGAGAAAAAACTTCAGCTGGGTTGAGAAAAAGCTGGGCTTGGGAAGGGGAAATTCTCATCATGAGCCATCTTCGGTCCACCCAAGGGGCTACCCCAGCTTCAGAAGAACAGACGACGAGGGAAGCAAGCAGGCTGCAAACCATAACACCTGTGCTTCCTGCCTGTTAACCAGACCCCCTTCTTCAAGCCTGGCTGTGGTTTCATGAGGTAAACCTTGTTTCTTGAAACAAGGTGCTTTAGTGGAAAGAACCTGGGGCCAGAGGCAAGAGACCTAGGTTCATGTCCCAACTGTGCCATTGTCTCACTGTGCGGCCTCAGGCAAGTCTGTTCAGTTGTCTGGCATTCATTTCCTCACCTGCCCTACCCAATAACCTCACAGGGTTATTGTGAGAATCAATAAGAGAGGCTTATGAAAATATCTGAAAGCTGAAAGCACTGTGCAGGTAAATAGAAAGGGCTGGCAGCTACCCCGGGAAACAGTAGCACAGCCTCACCTCTCAACACAGGAAGTTCTCTTTCGTAGCCCTGGCAGATCCTGAACTGAGTGGAGGTGCCCAGGTTGGGCCCAGGCCCTGTCAATGAGTCACCCCTGCAGGGGGACCTTCCATTCTAGTAAATACTCAGGTTCAACTTGTTGGAGGAGTAAGTGACCTAGTCATGGGCACACAGTCAATGACCATTAAGTGGTAGCTTCCCTCATGAATCCCCTCTCCAGCTACACAACCCTGCTCCTCCCTCTCAAAAACTGATTCTTTGCCCTTCTACCAGCCCTTCTGCTCAGTCCTTTCTGCTCCTTTCTTCTGAGCCAAAACTTTTCCAACTTTGAGTCCTTGCCAAATCTCACCTCCACCATAACTTTACACCCACCTGAAGCCTCACAGAAAAACTCCTAGACCACTTATTTCCTGGGCCACTTTTATACCTGTCATTCTTTGCCAGTTATGTTCCTTTCTGTGTGTACCCCATCTTCCCAGTGGGATGATGAACTCCTTCAGTGGGCGGCATGCTGTATTATCTCCCAAGCTTCTCCTCTCCACTGTTCTGCTCTCAGGCTGCCTTTATTTTCATGCCAGATAAGGACCCCAGTCCATGCATTTCTCTTCCTCTTATTTCCCCACATCCTCTCAATGGCTCTCAGAAGTCCACAAGATGGGCACTAACACCCCCTGGAGGCCTCTGGCAGCTGCACTCCCCCAAGGGGGGCGCTAAGGGCTCTCACTCCCCAAACTGCCTGTCTCGCCCTAGGATTCTGCAGCCTTTAAGTGAGGGCAGAGGCCCTGCGCAGCCTGAGGAGAAAGAGAGAGTGATACATGCAGATGAGCCCCTTCCTAGGGAATGCCTCTCTGGAGCCTCACAGGTGGGCAGCATTGGAATGGGGATAGGAGCATCTCCTTAATAGTAAGGTCAGGTGACTTGGCCAAAATCCCAGTAAAGTTGATTCTTGGCTGTGATCTCGGGGTTTCTGACTTTCCCTGGAGTCACCCCATGGCCTTACACAGGTAAGCTTACATAGGCAGACATGCAAGGACAGATCCGATCCCACGTACACACCTGGGAGAAAAGGTGCCTGAAAAAGGTCTCCAGGATGTGGCTCCGCTGCTCCCGCGTCACCGCTGCCCTCATCAGCTCCTGCTCCCGCAGCTCCCACTCCTGGAATCTCAGCCCACTCTCCTTCAGAGCCACCCGAAGGTTTTCCACCAGTGCCCGCCGCTCTTCCTCCAGGTTAAACAGCAGCACCTATGGAGGCAGCAGTAGGGAGAGCAACCATGTGTCAAGGCCTCTTGGGTCTAGGAGCTTTACATGAATTTTGTCAGGGGGCCACTGGAAAAAGAGCCCCTGCAAAAGAGAGTCTGTTATTTGCTGGTCTTAGGGGCGAAGTGGTTTTCTTATGTGTGCAGAGGTAGCATTCAAAGTCGCATACACATATAAAGCCGTTCTTCCCTCTCTATTCCATACTGGAGAGGGGAGGCAGGGAGGCCAGAGGACTGAGGGGACCATGAGCCAGATGGTCAGAGCTGAAGATCAGCCTCTGAGCTACCCTCCAAAATCTTTAACAAATCACTACAGCCTGAAATCAGGGACGGGGAAGAGCTTCTTCCAAGAAATCCCAACTAGGATCTGATGGTGTTCTTAGAAAGGGAGGGGGCAGACTGTGTCTGCAAGAGGAATAAGGGACTGTGGTGATCATGTAACCCAGCAGGCCCAGAGTGGGACAGATATGCTCAAGTTCATCTCTCCATCAGGTACTGCAGCTGGTAACCAGAGCCCTGTCTGGCCCAGTGCTCCTTTCCCTCCACCTGGCTGGCTATGGCTGTGGACAAGGAGCCCAGGGCCAGCTGGGCCATACCAGGTCATACTCCTTGGGAATCTTGAGCAACAGGGTGTGGCGTCCACGGTTGCTGGACAGGATGAGGTTGACCTGCTGCAGGGGCCTCAGCTGGATGATGCGGAGCACAGAGAGCCTGCCATCCATGACACGGACCTGCCCAGGCTGCAGGTGCACAAGCACAGGCCGGCAGGGCTCCTTGTGGCCCTGCCATTCCAACGCTGGGGAGAGACAGGGCTGGGTCAGCTGGGGCCCTCCGGGCCTGCCCTGCCTAAGGCACATCCAAAGGAAGGAGGCCAGCTCAGAGCTGGAGTTAGATCAAGGCCTCCGCAGCTCCAAGCCTCTTCGTGGGGACTGAGGGTCATCCCCTCCCTGGCAATCCTGCTGTGCCTCTTTCCCATGAGAATAACTACTGTTTCCTGAGTGTTTACGATGTGCTTTGTATGAACGACTTCATTTAATCTTCATAAATCCATGAGGTGTTATTATTATTCCTATTTTACAGATAAAAATAAATTTAGAGAAATTAAAAAATCTGCCTAAAGCCCAACTGCTAGAACCAAGATTCCAATCCTCAGTCAGTCTGACTCTAGACCTTCATTAATTACTTCTCTGTGGCCTGAAATTCCAGTGGGAGATGCACATAGCAGCAGTTCTTGGGAATTTGTGAGTCACAGTAACCCTGTGAAATGTAGTCGGGGGTCCTGTGACTCCTCCCCATGCATCTATCACATTTTCTATTTTGGGGACCATTGGGAGGAGCTACGGAGGTGGGAGGATTCCAGGTCCAATTTCCACCCGATGCCCCTGTGGCTCTTCCCACCTGCCCTGGCTGCCTGGAGGCCTAGAAAAAGGAGGCCTTTTCCTTAGGTTGCTGAGGTGGAGGTAGGGGCTGTCTCGCTGAGTCATGTCCTCATCACCACCCTGGCCAGCCCCAGGCCTACCTTCCACACCCTCCACGAACTTCTCAGACCTGATGCTCTGGCAATTCTGGCCCTGGAGCCTCTTGAAATTTCTCCTTCGGAGCCGGGCAACAATCCAGGCAACAAGCAGGCTCACTGGCAGGGCAGAGGCAATAGGATGCTCAGAGGAAGGTGAGGGTCTAGGGAGAGCAGTGGCTCCTTTGCCAGACTCCTTTCTTTGGCAAGGGCCCTGCTTTCCCCAACTCCTAGTTCTGTCCATTCTCAAATTGTGAAGCTCCCTTCAGGGAGGGAGGGGGCTGCTTTGCATCCTATGAGGAGCTTTGGGTAGCATCTAAGATGCCTGTGCAGCCTCCTCCCCTGCTTCGAGCACTCAGGTCCTTTCCCAGTCGGAGGCTGGACCCACTCTGCCAGGCTGCTCATCGACCCACACACAGCCATGCCAAAGACCAAGTCCAAAGCCTCTGCCCCAGCAGCTACCTCCCAGCCCTTGTTCTCTAGCAGGGATTTGCCCCTGACAGTTTCCCAGGCCCAGACTCCTACAGATAGCTGTGCAGTGTGGATTCTCTGTGGTCCCTGATCAATCTGGGCCCCAAGGGGATCCCAGGAGAATAGGGGGGGTCAGTTTTCCCTGGTGCCAACTTATCTACAGGTCAGACAGTTCTGTGTCCCCTCCTGCTCTGATATTTTTGTCATCAGCCCAGAGGAAAATGGTTGGTTGCCAGAGATGGACCCAAACCCACCCCCCAGCTTGCATCTCTCACCCAACCCCACGCTGCCCATCATTTTTACCCAGGGGGAAGCAGCAGAGGGTCCCGATGGTGACCCCGAAGCCAAATCCACTGCCTTTGAAATAGTCCCGCATGACAGGGGGGACACAGGCTGGCAGGCCCTCGGTGCTGAGTTGTCTTGGCTGTGGGCAGGGGTCCCCTGGGAAGACAGAGAAAGTTAGAGTTCTGGGAGGCGGTGCTCGGCCACAGGCTCAGGTGCAGCATCACTGAGGAGGTTAGGGTGACAGAAACAGGGGGTGGCTCTGGGTACCAGAGGGAAGGGGCTGCTTACTCCTGCCATTGTCCCTGCCATTGTCCCAAGAATGTGATGTTTTCCTACTTGGGTAACAAGTGGGGTCCAAAATGAACCTCAACCTCTGTCTCTCCCTCATATGCACGTGTGTACACACACACACACACACCTTCCCTCATCACTGCCATGGGGTTGGGATTTCCTCACTACACTCAGCCCTCCTAATGTTCCACCCACCTCCAGTCCTATCCCAGCTGAATGTGAGTCTCCTTACCAGATTTCTCTGAGTCTCAGCCCTGCCCGCACTTGGGCACCTCCTGGAGTTGTGAACCTACACAGCTGTGTGTTGTCAACCTTGATGCCCAGATCCAAAGTTCCCAAGGGCACAACCATAGCTCACTTGTCTTTTGGAGTCTACTGTCCAGCTGAACCAAACCCATGGTTGAGGAAGAAGGAGACGCCAGACCCCAAACCCCTCCAAGCACCCCCTGGCCACTCACCAGCATGCCAAAAAAAGACATTGGGCTGCAGGGCACTGGGGTCCACATTGGTGACAGCCATGAGAACATCCCATAGGGATGTGTTTCTGATCTCTGCAATCTCTTCCCCAGAGAATAGCCTGAGGGTGAGAGAGGTGGGGAGTTCTCACAGTGGGAGAGAGATGCAGGCCCCAGGCCCAGGGATCCAGGTGAGGAAAGAGACCCAGAGGGGGTGGGGAGGGGCAGGGCCAGCTGGGGATCAAGGGCCCCTGGGGGTTGTTTACAGGCAGGGGGTCTGGGCCCAGGCCAAGGTGGAGTCTGAGGTGGGAGCCCAGGCAGGCCTTACCCATTCCTGGTGTTCTCAAACCAGTAACGGTCACCATCCCGCAGCCTCACAAACTGGTCAAGGACTATGGCGCTGAAGAGGGGTCCGGGGTCCCCATGGCTTTCCAGAAGCCCCCCAGGGAGCAGCTCCAGCAGGGACAGGTCCTGGTTGTACAGAGCAGCTGTGGCTTCCAGCACCTGGGGCCAAGAAGGGAAGGGAGTTGAGTGTAAGAACCTGGCACTCACCCTCAGGCAAAGAGGTGGTTTCCAGGAATCAGGCTCAAGGCTAATAATAATAAATGACAGTAACAATAGCTCACTGATTATGCCCCAGGCACTGCTCTGAGTGCTTTACATAAGGTAACTAATTATGGGAATTCTCTCACAATTTTACAAAGTTGGAATAAAACAGGCAGCCAGTCCCTTACATAACTTATTCTTGAAAAAGTATACAAGTTGAAGGATCAAAATCAGTGCAAATGTTAAATGGTAGAATAATGTGTTAGAAAAGGTTTTTATTCTTTAGGTCTAAAAAAATATGTTTAAAAAATCAAATCCCTACATATACATTGCCTTTAAAAGACAGTCTTCAACAATATATGAGCAGCATGTTCTACCTGACCTCTACTTTAGTTCTTTCCTTCACAGTGTAAATAAGCACTTGATCAGCTTAATCCCAACGAGGTGCAATTGAAGCTAAAGATTTGCTACTTTGGGTATGCCTGGTGATTTCTATCTTTATACTGATTTTATAAAGTTTACACGCCCTACGCACATATAACTTTTTTATCTATCTTTCAATTCTCCACTTTCCAACACTTTTATAAAATAGTAAGGACAAAGACAATAAAATTGTCATGCAATTGTAGAAACACTGCAGTGCCAAGATGGTAAGGCAGCTAAAACTGGTCGGTTGTTTGACAAGCAATGCCACTCACCCAGGTGAGAGCTGACTCCCCAAAGGCAGCTTGGATATCAGTGCATGAAAGTACGGCTTGTTCCTGAGTCAAGGACCTTCTATACCCACTCAGGGAATCATTGGGAAGAGTAAATGAGACAATGTCTCTTAAGTGCTTGGCATGCAATAGATGCCCAATAAACATTTACTGGATCTGCAGTCGCAGAGTCTAAAGCCAACTCTGCTGGTCTGGTAACTTCCAGCCTGGTGTGTGATACTGGGAAAAACAACCTGGCTGAGCCCTGCCCTTCTCACCAGGTGCTTGTCTCTCATGCCTGGGTCTTGCTGCCCATTTTCTGTATCTCAGGCCAGTGTGCCCCGGCCCTCCCATGTTGCCCTCTGGGTCCTGACCCCTCCTCACCCTGCCATCACTCTGGAAGAGTGCAGGGTTGATGTCCTGCCATCTGGTAATGGGAGGCAGGCCCAGTGCTGCCCTGGCCTTGGTGTAAGAAGGCAGGCCCAGGTCCCGGCCCCGCTGCAGGCTGCTGGCCAAGTGGTCTGTGCGGGAAAACTTCAGTGGCCCGGGCCAGAAATCTGTGAATTTGATAGCAGAGAATCTCAGGGAGCTCAGCAACAGCATAGCTCCTCCAGACTATGCCCCAGGCTCCCACCAGCCCCAGGGGATCTGAGCCATACAGAGGGAGCTGTGGCCATCAGGTCAGAAGCTCTCTTAGCAGTGAGACTATAGGTTCCCAGCCCTGGATACCCCTCCCTGCCTGGCTATGGAGCTCCAGCTGAGCCTCCTCCCCGGGGCCCGGGGTGCACAGCCTACAGGGCCAGTCTTGGCCTCACCTCGCACATCCTCAACCACCACGTGGTCCTCTCGCTCAGCAATCTGGGAGGCCATGCCCAGTAGCAGCGCATCCACATCTTCAGCTCTTTGTAGGTTTGGGTGCTATGGAAGTGAAGAGAGGAGAAGGGTGTGGCTAATGGGCCAGAGCTTGGGCAGCCTGGCTCCCTCACCCCATAGTCTGTGCCCTCCACTCAGCCCTGCTGCTCACTCCAAACCAGCGGGCCACTCCTCTGCCACACCATTCCCCACTCCCGGCACGTGATGTCCCCATTCAAAGCCCCAGCTGCTGGGACACAGGTCTCCATAAGCACAAGGGACTGAAAACTTTATTTCTTCTATTTTAGAACCAGACTTGAGAGCATGGCTGACAAAGACACCAGAAGATCTAGGTCTTGGTTCTTGGTCTGTTTACTAACCTGCTGTGTGATTGTGGGCAAGTCATAGGATCTCTCTGAACTCCCCTTACTAAAAAAGGCATTTGAGATTAATAAAATAATAAAATAAAATTAATAAAGTAATAAAGAGGGATTAGGAGGACACTGAGGTCTTTTTCAACTCAGATCTATGACTCTGATCCTATGCCTTCCTCTTCTCTTTTCCTCCCTCGTCCCTTCCCCTCTTATGAACACTCTACACAAAGCATCTGAGTTTGCTTTAAATTAATGATCAATACCCTTGACCCACACTGACCTGGTTTGGATGGACAGACTATCCCTGGTAATCTCTCAGAATCCCTCCCTCCTCCTTGTCCCCAACCCATGAAAACATATTCACATGTAGCCCTGGGTGTGACTAACTGGAAAGTTTCCTGGGGGGCTGGGATGGCTGGGGTACTCCAAGGCCTAGGGGACCCAGAGCTGTCAAGGAGAAGAAAAGCCTAAGAGGAAGCAATACCTGTAGAGCCACACTTGCACAGGCCCCACTGTCTCCCACACAGTCCTGAGATGAGAGTAGAGGGTTGACTTTTTTTTTTTTTAATCTTTATTCATTTAGAGTGCAATTCTGGGCCAATCTACAACGAAGAGAAAACCCTAAACTTTGAAGTAGTGTTAACAGGCTGAATGATATAGCAGTATAGCCCCTGTATGTACAAGCAAGAAGTCAATTTCCATTCCCTTCAGAAAACCTCTTGCTAAACACGTTTTCTTTCTATGAGGGTTGACTTTTGACCAGGTACAGCTCTCTGGTCATCTCAGACACTGGTAGGGGAGATGGTTTCGGTTCCCAGGCTTCCTCCTCCACCCCGTCCCATCCCAGGTGGCTGCCTCAGCCCTACTGCCCATCTTCATCACACATACACATGTGCACAAGCACACACAACACACATATGCCAACCCACATATATATCCCAGCCCTGACCTCTCGGCTCCAGTAGCTGTTGCACACCCGGAGAGCTCTGGAGACACTTGAATCCCAATTGATGATCCTCTGGAAGTGGCAGCTGGCATTTCTAAAATGCAAGGAGCAGGGGAGTGGTGACTGAGATCCTGGGATCCTAATGTCAGGCATCAGCTCTGCTCTCTAAGACTGTAGCTAGGGGCCAGGCCATTGCTTCCCTGAGGTGGTATGTGGTCAGGGTAGGTCCTGAACAATCTGATTTTGGGAGGTCCCTCTCCCCACATCAGACCAAGCATCTAAAAATACACCCATAGAGCTTGCACATGCTTTTTTGTGCATTCTCTTTCTCTCCACATATACATTTTGAAAGAATTTTTAATTGTTCTTTTGAAATTACTTGTCTATGGATAACTCAATTGCTATGATTCCTTGGCCATCATCAGGCATATCCAGAAAATGTTCCAAAGTAAGAAAACGTAATCTATGAACTGTTTTAAATTATAATGCAATTGTAAAAAATAAACTAACGTGCTTTGCTTTGTATACATATAATTAAATGTATATTTTTAGTTTAAAGTTCTCTTTTCATTATTTTAGAGCCAGTATTTCCTTCAGCTCTCATACCTTTTTATTATAATTTCCCCCAAAGTTTTCTAAGGCCTGGGTCCTGTGTTTACAGCTAAAAATGCCCCCAGGGTAATGTCAAGACTTGAAGTTCAGACCGCCAGGCTTTGTGACTCACCCTCTGAGCCTCAATTAGTCTGTCGTAAACTGAGGGATTAATATCTACACCAGCTGCAGGAAAATGGGCATAAAAGTGCTTAAATACCACAATGATGTATCTTTGTAAAAAATTGTTTTTATTCTAACCCTCCATATTCACTGTTCCCTGAAGGAATGGGCTCAACTTCAGACTGATAATCCTGTCCTAAAGGCTCAAGTGTGCAATTTTTGCAATTGACAAGCCCCCCCCCCCATCCTGCCCTTGCCCCTCCCAACACACATTTGAGCCCTCCTTTACCTCATGTAGACGCCAGGGGGTACCATGGTGGAAAAGAACTGCTCAGAGGCCACCAGGAACTCTGGAGAGATGCTGGGGTCCAGGAAAGGGCGGTACCCTGCCCCATGGGAGTAAGAGCAGAAATTAGATCCTTAACCCCCACTCCCCCCACCCCCTATAACCTGCACCCACCTGTCTTCTTCCCCTTATGGGTCCTAACCATGACTTCCCCTCAGCCCAGGTGCTACCCCATGATGCCCTCACCTGTATATTCTGGGGGTGTTTTCTGCAAGAAGCTGGGCAGCCACTCATACAGAGCAATGTTCTGAGGGTCAAGAAAGAGGAAAGGGGAGGTGAGTGCTCCAGCTGCCAGGCCACGAGGGATCTGAGCCCAAGGAAAGCTTAAGTGGGGGAGGGCCACCAGGCACGGGCAGCCATGGGAAAGACAATTCCAACAGGAGAGGTGCTGAGGCCTGTCCTCCCAAGGAACAAGGGGTTTCGGGGGTGCGGGTGCAGCTAAGCCCCTTGTGTAAGCCGCACTTTGCCTCCTTATAATTTCAGGGTCTGTTCCTAGACCTCAGCTCTCCGGGAGGGCTGGACTCCCAGTAGAGGGTGTTTCTGGGTGGCGCATGCCCAAGGATGGAGGGCTCTGCAGGGGGGCAGAGTCTCCCGGGGACCAGGGCGTGAGGGTGGGGTGGGGAGGGCCGTGTCCCCGACCTGGTAAGTGGCGATGACCCTCTTGCGCGCGTGCTGGAACAGCTCCTCGTCGCCCCAGTGCGGGTGCTCGCGGGCCAGCCGCTGCGCCCACAGGTTGTGGTAGCGGAACCAGAGCAGGCCCAGCGCCTGCAGGAAGGGCTCGCGGTTCCCTCGCTCTGCCCCGAAGGCTGCGTCCGNGCTGCCTGTGGGTGGGCTGGGAACGTCTCCACCCCTGACCCTGAGCCCCACCTCCCTCGGACCCCGCCCCTGCCCCGCAGTCCGCCTAGTCTCACCAGGTCCCGGGGGTTGCTGGGGCTCTGTCCGGTCTTGGGGTCCCAGCGGCTCCTCTGGAAGGGCAGCACCACGTCCCCGCGCCGTTGGGGGTCGAACACGGGGTCCCCGGGCGGGATGCGGATGTTGAGGAACTCGGCGGGGCAGCCAGGTCTCTCCACGCTGACCAGGTCCGAGAGCACGTGGTAGCCTGCGGGCAGTGGGGGGGAGGCGATGGGGGAGGGCGAGCTAGGGCCAGCTAAGGCCACTCTTTGTTCCCCAGGTATCTAGTTCCCCCACCCCCAGCCCAGAGCTTCAAAAGACTTAACAGCCATTATGGGCAAGTCCCAGCCATGACCTCGCCCATCCCTTCCCAATACTTTGTTACACCCTGGTCCAACTGTTTTCATTGCCAGTTTGGCCTTCACCTTGGTAACTGGGAGGTGCCCAGTGAGTGTGCCTAGGCACTCAGGCTGGCCACATGGGCTCCAGCAAACAGCTGGGGGCAGCCTGCCCAGAAGGCCTGCCAGCCTGGGTGGCTCCCTGAATGGCCAGCAGGAGCCTAGCATTCCTGCTGGAAGCCAACAACTAGTCACTGGGGTCAGCTGGCCTTAGCACCCCCATTTCAATACCCCCCAGCCACCCTGACAGGATAAGATCCCTGCCCTGAGCCTGTCCTAGGAACCACAGAGGCCAAGAGTGAGACTAGCATCCCACCAAGAGTCCCTAACAGATTATTTTCATGCTCCTGCTTCTACTCCCCACCCCCATCAACAGCTCAACCTGGGGCACATTTATACCTTTTCCAACCAGACTTTTTTCCTCTGCTCCCACCTCTACCCTACCCCATTGCCTACCCTTCCATCTTTCTCCACCCCGTCTCTGATCCTCCAATACTTCTCTCCCTCACTCCCTGAGTCCGCCCGCAGACATAGAGGCGTCTAGCTGACCCCACTGGCCTCCATCCCCTACAGGTTGAGGTCCTTACCAAAGAAGACCCCAAGCACTGTGCGGTTTTGCAGGGAGGCCTGCCCTGCAGGGCCCCTCATGGCAGTGTTGCTGAGATCTCGGGGATTGGGCAGGTAGGGTTCTCCCAAGGGCTGGTACACACCATCTGCATAGGTGGCTGGGACCAGGCGCTGCAGCCGATAGCCTGGGATGGGATGGGTAGGGACACGGACCAATCCTCAGAGGAGTTCCCTGACCTCCCCTCTCCCAGGCTTCCTCCATACCACAGATCTTAAAACCTTAGCAATGGGTGAGGCTTAGCTGGTGCCTGCCAGCCCTTGCCCCTTAGCAGTGGTACCACCCTGACCCTGGGCCCCTGTATCCACTTGGCTCTCACTTACCTTTGCTGCCCCATCTGTGCTCCATAAGGTTGTTGTACCACCCATCAAATCGCTGCACCTCCCACGAAATGGGGTTCTGAGCTCCTGTGTGAGGATGGAGGGAAGGGGCAGCTGGACAAGTCAGTACATGAGAGGATGGGTAGGCCTGCAGGATATGCATCCTGTGAGCCTGGCACTTGGGTCGGTAGAAAGTGGACACCCAGCACAGATGTGGGAGGTAGGGTACAGAGGGAGATCATCAGAGCAAAGTGACGTTCAAATTCAAGCCGAATCTTTAAGTTGTTGGGGGGTAGGGTGGGGGTGGGGAGAGATATGGCAGGGAGCACTGAAGGATTGTAGCCAGGTAGCCATGTGCAGTGTGCTGACAAATGGCCTCAGAGAGGAAGAGGAAACAGAAGGGAACAGTGGCCATGGGGAAGGCGATGCAGACTTTGACTGTCCTCCCTGGGGGACACAGCAGGATAGAAGCCATTTCAAGCCTTAAGACATCATACAGAGCAAGAGCCAGTCACCCCCAAAGAGCCAGCTACTCTTCCACCCAGGGAAGGACATGTCACTCTGTGATCCATCCCCAGGCAAGGGCAGTGTGGAGAGGGTCTTGGCCCTCTCCTGCCGAGCAGAGCCCAGTCCAAGGGTGTGGGCCACAGAGCTGTGGGTTTGGTCCTTATTTCAGCTTCCTGGGTGGGATCAGGGACTGGCAGGCTTGTGGATAACCTTGCCCTCCTCCTCTTTGGGGGCATCATGACCCCCATATAATTCCTCCCCTTGACCCTTGTACTCCCTCCCTTTGTACTCCAAAATCTAGGGCTTGGGGGGG